CCGCCTCTCCCTCTCCCTCCTCCCCTGCGGAGGACACGCCTACGAGGGCATTCCTGAGGCGCAGGGCCGCACGTGAGACCCCCCAGCCGGAAATCAGAAATCGGGCGCTGGAGGAGCAGGGGCGAGGGGATGAGAGTAGGAAGGGCTGCTTTTCAAGCAACCCCCCTTTTTCTACTCCCAAAGCAATCCTGGGATGGGGATTGGATAGATTGAATAAATGGGGAAACTGAGGCCGGGGAGGCGGGACCTACAACACAGGAAGTGAAGAGAGGGTAAAGAGCGTTTGTAGGCAAACACCCCGGGTTTGATTTTTTCCTGCTCTCTGGGGGACCCTGCTTCTCACCACACAGGCTGAGAGAGACTGAAGACTTGCCTGATCCGTGGCTCCTGTGTCCTCTGTGAATCAGTGGCTGTCCCTCCAGGGACAGTTGCTGCTCGCTTAAAACCAAACGCTCCCAGGGAGTCAGTTGCCAAGCAGGTCCCAGCGCCCACAGCATGAAGACCTCTGTACCAGATCTGGGACAGACAGATGGGCTGGGGCTGCAGAGATGTAGGCAGAAGCACAAAATATGCCTGGAGGGAGTTCAAACCAACTGTCCGAAACGTTCCCAAAGCAAGAGATGGGCCTAATCTAGGATGCTAAAACTGCACCCTCCTCACAGCAGGTGAAATTAAATGAGAGGGCGTGGGCACTGGGATGAAGGAGGGCATCTCTGAGATCAGTTTTAGAACTTGTGACAACCACAGAGAGGCAGGCCCTGTGTGTTTCTGCATCCGGCCTTCTGGCCAGAAGCGGTCCTGCTCCTCTCTCTACCCAGGCCTTCACACACATAGAAGTTCCTCTCCCTGAACCACAGGCTCCAGGGGTTGGAAGGGTTCCGAAAGTTCACCAAGGTGACTCTCTCTAAAAGTAAAAGCTACAGGGCAGTAGGTGTCCAGTTTTAGTGTGCATGGGAATCATTTGGAAGAAAAATGCAAATCCCTGTGCCCTGCCCCTAATATTTTCATTCCATAAGTCTAGGATGGGGCCTGAGGATCTGTATTTTGCTCTCAGACTGTCATTTGGGAAGCACAGATCTTTGCATCTTTTCATCAAATTCAAATGCCATTTCCTCAAAAGGTGTATTCTTGTTACCACCCCCCCAAAATTGGCCCCCACCCCAGTCACTTTCTATCCCATTACCCCTTCTGATTCCCTGAAAACACTTGTCATTCTTGGATAGGATCTTGTTTACTTATTGGCTGTGTTCCCCACTAAGACCCTAAGCTCCTGGAGCATGGGGATCTTGCCTTTGGACATCTCTGTGTCCTATACCCACTGCTGTATCTGCCAGATATTAGCTCAATACGTATTTGTCAAGCAAGGGAACAAACTCAGGCCTGATTTTTTAAACAGGGAGTCATGACTGGGGATTTTAGAAGCTGATACCATCCTGGGGGTAAGGTTTGGGAACTGTCCCCAGACCTTCTTTCCTCACTCTCCCACCAGCCTCTTCCTCAGCCCACCTCATACAGAGCTCTCCAATCCTGGGGGCCGGGGGTGGGTGGGGAGTGATGCAGCCTCGATGGAGTCATATGACTCCTGTGAACATTCCATCAACCTGAGCCTAGGAGGAAAGTAGCCTTTCAGGGTCTCAAGATCTGGTTTGAAGAAGAGCTTGAGGCTATGGAACAAAGACAGTCTCTTCAACAAATGGTGTTGGGAAAATTGGATAGCCATATGCAGAAGAATGAAACTGGACCATTTCCTTACACCACACACAAAAATAGACTCCAAATGGTTGAAAGACCTCAATGTGAGACAGGAGTCCAG